CCCCCCCCCCCCCCCCCCCCCCCCACTTTAAATTCAGGGTGAAATGACTGTCAATAATATTATATACATGAAAAGTTTTAAAAAAAATTTTAATGAATCTATTCGAGAAATACGACTGAATAGTATAATAATCATGTCCGAATTTATTGAAATTTTTACCATATATAGAGCTTTTTATGCTGATCATTTTGGTACTAAATTATTCAATATTCGACTCTATTTTTATAAAGATATAGATTAAATAATATCAATGAATACAATGTGTTTTTGACTATTATGTAGAAAAAAAAGGAATGATTTTTTCGAAAACAAAAGTAATAACGCTCTACTATGCAGTTACATAAGAAATCTATTTATATATTCGGAGATACTCATATAATGTCTATCTAATCATATGTGATATACAAGGAAAGAACGGTGAATTAAAAATCATTCAGAAAGAAATTAAAAAATCGAATAATTGATAATAGTGACATAAACATTTCAATAGAGAAAAATTTGTTTTATAATATACACTTGTTAGTTTTTCTTTCAACTTTCATTTTAGAAAGAATAAGTGTTGAAAAAATCCACATATAATTGTTTTTTTTCCACTTCAAATGGAGATATATTTAGCTTCTCCCGTAAAAACTTCAGTGAAAAAAAGAGTTTGTTCATCATAGCTTTATTGCTAAGGCAACGACATTTTTATTGGTTTGGCGATTAATCGATAAGATTAGTATAGTGAACGAAATGGAGGCCATTTTGTGTTAGTGAACATTATGTGATTTGTCTACGAGATCATATGACTCATATACATCTCTGATAATGTATTCACTTCATCATTCATTTTATTTTCTGTTCAATTACAAACATTATTCTCACGTATGTCGGATAAATCTCCTATATGGTGCGCTCATCCTTGTCATGATGAAGTTCTACCAAACGGAAAAAAACGTTTTTGGAAAACTGGTCGAAAGCCATCACATTCAAAAGGAAAAAGATCAATCAACCAGCAGTTGGCCAATTTCATCAACAACAATCATCAAGCAATTCTAAATGGATCGTCGAACAAACTCTCAAATGGTGATTATCTTTGCACGTCATGCTTTTCAAATGAAGAAAATTGTTTCATGTTGGGCGAAGAAGCAGATATGGTTGTCGGTAAGAATCATTAAAGTCCTAGTTCCAATAGTCTTGATGGTGATTTAGATTTTGACCAAAATTCTCCAATAGATGACGATTACATACGTATCGATCAAGGTGATGCTAAAACAAAATTGAATCAAGTATTTGAATTTGTGAATGTTAAGAAAATTGATGATATGTGAGTACTTTATTTTATTCGTTAAAATTGTAAGATTTATTTTTTCATAGTCGAAACACTAATCAAATTTCACATGCCATAGACGAAACATATTTTAAAATGCAAGAGTGGAGTAATATACTTTTAGCAGTTTCTCGTTGTACTGAAGAACCAGAAATAGCGACCTGCGGAGTCACGTTTTTTTGACTCCGACTCCGACTCCGAAAATTTTTTAAGCTTCCGACTCTGACTCCGTTTTTAAAGTTTTTTTCAACTCCGATTCCAACTCCGACTCCGAAATTTTTTTTAAAATAACTCCGACTCCGACGCCAAAAAAAAACTCCGGAATTTTTTTTCTATTTAAATCAACATTTCCACTTTACTAATAATGATGATGAAGAAGATATTGACGTTTTGGATTTTTGGCATAAACTACAGAGTTTATTTTCAACTTTATCTTCAATTGCTGGGAAAATCCTTGCAATATCGGCTACAAACACCATGATAGAAGATCTTTTCTTATCATGGAAAACAAAGTATCGGCGAGCGTAGAACAAATTCTGATGATGAAAAGCTTAATCAGCTAATGTTTCTTTTAAAAAACTTAGTTTTATTGAAGAATTTTCATCAGTCCAAAAAGACATCAACGAAAGGATCAAATATTGACCCAGTTTCACTTATATCAGCACATTAAAGTGAAATAGTAGTTAAAAAAGCACGTGAAGAAGATGAAAATATATCTAAAGACGAAAGTGGAGCTATTGAATGGTACTGATCTTTTTTTCGCAATCATCAGTTGTAAGAGATAATCTGGTGTGGATGGCTTTTGTTTTTTTTTGTATTTTTATATTTGATGTTACGTAGCTATTGGATTAAAAGTTCTTTTTAACAAAAAGTTACGATTTTTAAAAAAATGCTGCA